TCCTGGGATTACAGGCGTGAGCCACCATGGCCAGCCTACTCTCTATTTTTATAAAACAGGCCTCACATTTCTGCTATTTGATTTCCTCTGACCCAGGTCAAATCCTGTCTTCTCTGTTAGAACTTCTCTGAGATTACCTTGGTGTACATAGTGATGGCTTCCCCAATAGCCTGGTCTCTTTTTCACTTGTCCAGTTTTCCATTTGAGAATGAAAAGAAGCCCAACTCCATTACTGGGATTCAAGGAGGAAGAGAGGGATGAACACAAGCTTACATACTGACCATGGATGTTGATTTCAGGATGGGCATGTGGTTCAGTTGAAACCAGAGCCTGAGTTAGAGACACACCTTTGCTGCGAGTTGCTCACCTTCTCTGGATAAGATGGAGAGGCATGTAGGCCTGGAAATTGTTGGCAGCCATCTTGGGTGGATGGAGCTGACACGATGGAGGCAGAGAAAGAAGCTGGTCTTGTACAGCATCACTGAGTCCCACAAAACCCATCTTCTACTAGGCATCCTTCTACTAGCCAATAAATCCTTGTTTACTCCAGTTTGAGGTTTTTTGTTGTTGTAATTTGCAACTGTTTTGACCCTTTTTTTTTTTTGAGACAGAGTCTCACTCTGTCACCCAGGCTGGAGTGCAGTGGTGTGGTCTTGGCTCATTGCAACCTCTACCTCCTGGGTTCAAGTGAGTCTCCTGTCTCAGCCTCCTTACAAATTGGCAAATGTTGTCTCCTTAACATTTTTTTTTTTTTTAGAGATGGAGTTTCACTCTTGTTGCCCAGGTTGGAGTGCAATGGTGTGATCTTGACTTACTGCAACCTCTGCCTCCCTGGTACAAGCAATTCTCCAGCCTCAGCCTCTCAAGTAGCTGGGATTACAGGTGCACACCATCCTGCCTGGCTAATTTTTTGTATTTTTCATAGAAACAGGGTTTCACCATGTTAGCCAGGCTGGTTTCAAACTCCTGACTTGAGGAGTGATCTGCCCACCTTGGCCTCCTGAAGTGCTGGGATTACAGGCCTGAGCCATTATGCCTGGCCAACATTTTTTCATAGAACTTACTATAGGCTTCCCATTGGTATATAGGAATAATATCCTAATAAATATACATATGTATTTACATGTTGCTGTAGAATCTAGTACAGTGATTTTTTCCCACAGTCTGGCTAAACAAATTCATTTATTAAAGGAAATAAGTCTTTGAAGGTTAGGTAAATTTCAGTGATTAGAGTTAACCTGGGTCAATAATCTACCTTATTTCTATGGAAATTTTATAGTATGGTTTAAGAATCTTATATAAATATGAGAGCTAAAATCATAAAACTCTTAGAAGAAAACATACAGGTAAATATTCATGACCTTGTATTTTATCATAAATCTTTAGATACGATTCTAAAAGCACACAACAAAAGAAAAAAAATAAATTGGACTTCATCAAAATGGAAACTTTCATACATCAAAGGACATGATCAATAAAGTGAAAAGACAACCTAGAGAATGGGAGAAAATGTTTGCATGTCACGTATCTGACAAGGGTCAGAATATATAAAGAACTTTTACAACTCAACGAAGAAGACAAACAACCCACTTCAAAAACAGGTGAAAGACCTGAATAGACATTTCTCCAAAGAAGAGACTCAAATGGCCAATAAGCACATGAAAAGATGCCCAACATTACTAGTCATTAGATGCAAGCTGGCCAGGTGCAGTGGCTCATACTGGCACTCCCAGCCCTTTGGGAGCCCAAGATGAGGGGATCACGAGGTCAGGAGTTCAAGAGTAGCCTGACTGTTATGGTGAAACCCCATCTCTACTAAAAATACAAAAATTAGCTGGGTGTGGTAGCACGTGCCTATAATCCCAGCTACTCGGGAGGCTGAGGCAGGAGAATCGCTTGAACCTAGGAGGCACAGAGGTTGCGATGAGCTGAGATCACATCGCTGCACTCCAACCTGGGTGACAGAGTGAGACTCCGTCTCAAAAAAAAAAAAAGAAAAAAAAAAGCACCCGCAAGGTACTTCACACTCACAAGAATGGATATAATCACAAAAACAGAAAATAACAAGTGGTGGAAGGGAGGTGGAGAAATTGGAACACTTATGCACTGTTGGTGGGAATGTAAAATGGCAGAGCCACTGTGGAAACAGTTTGGCGGTTCCCCCACAAGTTAGATATAGAATTACCATATGATCCTGCATTTCCACTCTTCAGCATATACCCAAAATGACTAGAAAACAGGCCCTAAAAAAAAAAAATTCATGTACATTCATGTTCACAGCAGCACTATTCACAGTAACCAAAGGGTGGAACCTCAAATGCCCGTCGAGAGAAGAATAAACAATTGTGCTGTGTAGAAACAATGGAATATTATTTGGTCAGGAAAAGAAATGAAGCATGGATACAAGCTGTCATATGCATGAGCCTCAGAAATGTTATGCTCAGTGAACAAAGACAGACACAAAAGGTCACATATTGTATGATTCCATTTATATGAAATATTCAGGGTAAATCCAAAGAGACAGAAAGCAGTTTGAAGGTTGCCAGGAACTGGAAGATGAAAAATGGAGAATAACTGGTTAATGGCTATGCGGTTTCCTTTTGGGGCTATGAAAATATTCTGGAACTAGATAGAGGTGGTGGTTGTACAATATTATGAATATACTAAATGCCGCTGAATGATTCACTTGAAAAACAGTTGATTTTATTTTACGTGAATATCACCTTAATAACAGCAACAAAATCTTATATGAATGAATCATCAGCAGCAAGACATACTGACATACTTTCAATGCTCAGCTATCAAATAGTTTCAACAACAAAAATGAATAAATACTCTGATTCTCAGTTAAACTGTCAAAATTAAGATGGCAGAAAGCAATGTTACCCAAAGCCTATGATGTGTTTTACTGATGGTAGATAAGATGGCAAAGGCTTTAAATAACCTTGCCTCACATAGGGAGAAATTTAATTTTTCAGAGATTTTATTCACCCTTTAGTTCTTGTGAATATATCAATGAGTCTCAATTTGCAGTTAGGATGTTTGCTGTTAGTACAAGTAACATCTCTAACACATGCTCATCATACCTTTGAAGAAAGAGGAGCAGGCTTCAGGCTCAGAGCCCTTTGCTAACTGGTTTTAATATCACTGGTTTTCTGTGTGTTCATTTTTACTTTTCCATTTATGTAGCAAAATAGTTTTGAGATCTGCATTATGCTTTATGATGCAAAATTTCCTCTTTACATTTATTTACATAGAAATGTGAGTCCACTTAAAGAAAAACAGTAGGCTGGATGCAGTGGCTCACGCCTGTAGCCCCAGCACTTTGGGAGGCCGAGGTAGGTGGATCATGAGGTCAGGAGTTCAAGACCAGCCCCGCCAACATGGTGAAACCCCAT